TTATGTATATATTATATGTTAATTTTTTATTTTTGAATTGGTCATGACTTTGTGAGGGTTCCAGAGCAGTTTTGAAAGTGAATGTTTTGCCGTTTGTATTAACTCATCTTTCTGCCTTTTTTCATCTTTGATTAGGAAAAGTTGTCAGTAATCTTCCAACAAAAACAGCAGTAAGGTCTTGTGGTTTCTCATATGGTGGAAATATTGCCATGTACACTACAGACAAGACTATGGGGCAGCCTTCAGAAATACACATCTATGATCTAAGGGACAGTAATTCAATAGGTAGGCAATTTTTCATTCTTCAAAAGACAAATGGTCCTGACTTTTGCCACATATAGTTGCTCCAGTAACAGCCTCGAAGGATTGCACAAAGGTTAATTGCACCAGTTAACATGATCTTGATATGCAATTTTAACTTTAATAATCTTAAAAGATTTTCATTTCATTACATTAACCTACTGCAGTATTAGATGTGTCTTCAAGTTCAAAGTGTAGAGCTTATAATGTGGAAATTTTCTACTCACAATGTCATCTGCTTTTCCAGATTGTACTGAAAGTCTTAGTTGTGCGTATAATTTGTTTTCATTAGTGACAATACCAACTGAATGGCTTATCCCTACCAGCGTACAGAGTCAAACCCCCATTATTGTTACACTGATTTTTACACAGCATTTTTTATGAAGTTCAATATTATTTCATTTCAGCCAATGCTGATCCACTAATGGTGATGCCAGCAGGAGACAGTAAAATCACAGCTTCTATATGGGGACCTTTGGATGAATTTATTATCACAGGTCATGAGAATGGAGCTTTGAGACAATGGGATTTTAAGGTATGTGTATATTATTGATTTTTTTGGTTAAGTTTTAGTGTAAAAGAATGCAGTAAAAGATTTAATGTGATTATCTTATTCAAAAGGTTAAAAAACATGATAGCAGATATTATCAAAATTTGTTTATTTGCAAGGGGACTTTGAAGAACTTGAAGTTAAGGTAGATCGGTCGTTACGTAATTTGACGATTTGCGCAATTTCAGCGCATCGTCAATCGTCTCTAACGACACTTCAGTCTGTTTTATTAATTTAAGGAAATAAAACAATTATCTATAAGATAAACACACATTATCAACTTGTCTGTAACTCTGTATGATCGATACAGATTTTCGACAACGTTTGTCGACTATGATTCCATACGACAACTGTAGCACGTTCATAGACTTGCCCTTCAAGAAATCGTCGGAATAGCTCCTTTTCC